GCACATTGTAAAGAGCTGCATATTTATACAAATCGTTTCTGTTCTGAATCATTAAAAAGAAATTAAATTAGCAATATGCTCTATAGAGTACATTAATATGGGAAAGAAAAGGAATTCTAGCCTAAATATGATTCTGCCATGAAAACTTAGCTCGCAATTTAAAAATATCGCATTGCTCAATTGTCATTACTATTTGTTAAAATTTTAATGCGAAGGCTTTATCAATATTTACGCAGATTTTAATTGTATTGTGGGTGAAACAACTTCAAAGGAAAACGTCGAGTTCAAGACTGAAGAGCTGAGGAAAAGAAACCTTGTCTGGGTTAAATTATATATTGTTTCGAGTATAACAGAAAAGAGTTTACACCAAAAGAAACAGCACATTATAAACAAATATAAATAATGAATGTACATGCAGAGAAATTTTCTCTACCACATGTTAATCTTGTATATAGAAATATTCCTAATTAGAAATATAATGCAATCAAATTAATTAATATTATTTTTTTATTTTGTTCATTTTCTTTAATATATGTTATTTAAATGATGTGTTTAGTATGATCACCTATATAGTGGGATCATAGAATAAAGTTAAATCCGAACATATAAATTTAAAAGAAGTGATTGAACCAAACAATGATTATTTTCTATATATCCATATCTAACACATTTTTCTCTGAGTGTAACATCTGCAAGATCATTTAAGATCGATGTAAATTACATAGTGCACCTAAAGCCGATTATAATCGCTAGCATGTCATCTGTATCGAATATCAGAAACAAAAAGCTTTTGACATTCAGTAAAACTATATTCATCATCATCCATTCAGAGAACTGCGCCAGAGTTAACAAAGTGATATGATATTGTTGTTTCAACCTTCAGCCGTAAAGGCAAACAATCTGTTGTTGGCATTATGTATAGCCCAATCCATATGTGAGCCGACACGTTTCACTATAGGCAGCAGTCGCCTGACCTAGGGAAACGCTGATTCAGTAGGGAGGTTCAAAAGTCGTTGTCCGCACTTCTCAAATGGCCAATAAATAAATCAGAAATAAAACAGCTTGAAAATCGACTCATATTCAATTTGCGTCAATTACAACGAAAGATTAGCCTCGCTCTAGTTTCGTATAATGAGGCGCTACGTCTATATAAATCAACGTCCAGATAATATAATGCGAAATACGTCGTCGCTGGGGGCAGCTAAAAAAAGAAAATACAACTCGGCTGAATCGGCTTACTGGGGCTCATCATTATCGTCATTAATGAAAAAAAAAAAAAAAAAAAATTTAAAAGTCAAATTAACAAAACGCACAGCCAAAATTAGCAAGCGATCGAAGACGTTAAAAATACCTGGTTTTTACCGTGCTCTATGACGTAATACATGTATATACATATGTGCCATATGGATACAGCTTACAGTTTACAGTTAAGTCTGACTTATATATTAAAAATAAACGCCATCAATTTTCATTTTAAGGCTTCAAGTTCAGTTGCACTCGCAGTTTTTTTCCACCAGCTCCAAGAGCACGCTGAGATCAGCTGTCGCACAATTCTCTTATCTCTCCCCGACATCGGCCACATTATTTTGTAATAAATATAATATATAAATATACATACAATATGTGTTGCTGTGGCACGTGGCTGCCAAATGAATGAATCGAAATGTTCATAGAATATTATAATATCATTAGGCGCCGGCTCGTGCACCTATATTTGGACAAGAAAGGAAAAAACAAAGACAACAACAACAAAAGGCAATATGTATACGACAAAAAATATTAATAATAAAATCCAATTAATTAAAGCCATGCGAACGTCGATTTGGCGAAAATTTATGGCATTCAATTTTTCATAGAAACCCCAAATATTTGCCCCGGTCGAAAGCAAACTCTTTTCTCGTAACTGAATATTGTGAACCCAAATATTTGCACGCGATTCGGTGGTAATCGGGTTTTACGTTACGCTTAAAAGTATTCAATGCTTTTTTTAATCATCAAAAATTAAGGTGTTGATTGATGAGGGCTTAAAATTACTATACACTTTCTTGACAGTGAAAAGAGTATGCTAGTTTTGTAGATGGCTTCCGGTTCGCCTCTATCTCTCTCTTTGTCTCACTGTTGATAGAGGCTAGAAACTTAAAATTTGTGCCCTCAGCTGATAAAATGTGAAGATATTTTGAACACGCGAATTAGCCGTATATAACCGTAGAACTCTATCTTCAATTCAACGACTTTAGCTTCAGAACCATTATTAGCTATTGTTATTATCATCTACATACTATCT